TTCAGCATTTCTGAAAATCACAGAGATTTAGGAGGTTAGCTCTAGCACCCCATCCATCTAAACCAAAAATGTTGCTGTTAAAACGAAATGATTTCTCTCACCATCTGAATAAGTTGCATTATAATGATTTCAAAGTGTAACAGTTTGGGTTCCCCACCCCCAATCTCACTGATTTTTTCAAATTAGAGATTTCTCATTAAGACATCATAATCTTTTTTAGAAAAGGTCCTTTTTACTTTGGGTTTAATTTGATTAGATTTACATTCTTGGGAAGGTTTCTTAGGCATTTAAAGAGCTCTGTTAACAGTGCTATGCTCCAGCTCCATTTCCTGAGCTCAGCAGAAGGCTGCGTACGATGTGCTGCGCACACGAAGTGAATCAAACACTTCACATTGCATTACCATCCTGCCTGAACTAGAACGTTGCCATTTGAAGCAACACATCACACATCCTTTAGTACGGATATTTCAGTGAGGAATTTGGGTCCTCCTTGTCATGATGATGGGGAAGCAGCCAGGGAGGGTGACTGTGAGGATTCGTGCTCGTGTGCCAGCCATCCTCCTTTAAACCTTCCAGAAAAGGTAATGCAAGTGACTGTCTGTAATAATTTGAGGGAAAACAGCTCTATGGCTTGGAAATGTGGCTGATACAGACTTCAAAGCAAGCTGGTAGTGGGATGGTGCCCATAGCTTCCAGAGGACTGCCCATGAGCTACAGTTGTGAGTTTGGAGCTGCTGCCTTTGCTTTTTTAAAAAAGCAAACAGAAAAGAAATGAGGAGGGATCTCCTCAGTCCTGCCCTCTAAGAAGAAAATCCTCAAAGCAGCTGGTATCATGCTGGCTCAGGAGGTGAGAAACCTGAGCACCATGCCTCCCCCAGCCTGAGGTCTGCCATTTAGGCAGGGAGCACCCTGATCGATGGGATGGAGGCTGTTACGAACACAGGGAATAAGGAATTTTCCATTCTTCCATTAAAAACACAAGGATTTAAAATTTCTTTGGGCTAGTGAGAGAATTAAAGAGCCAGTCAGCCTTGGACAGAGGGGCTGGGGCTCTGCCACTGCTGCTGTGGCAGGGTTAGTTTCTTGGGAGAAGTGGGATGGGGCTTTGAACCTCCGGGGCTGAAGAGAGCACTGAATCCAGATCTTCCTTCTCCTAAGCAGCCCAATATCAAGACCCTTTATAGAAGGAGACATTCAGCTTTGATCACGGAAGTTAAATTTGTTGGGATGGCTCACACCAATGCCAATGACTATGTTTTTTTAGGGCAAAGATCTAGATGCTAATAGCTATATACTGCTAAAGGAATGCTTGCTTTTTTGGATGCCTATTTTGAAATAATTTCTGAAGTTTGCTTTAATGCTGGTAAGATGGTATTTATTATTAAATAATAAACCAGAGCTTCAAGTATTTGCTGAAGGTCAAATTCTTGCCTTGCATAAATTTATGTTGCTCCATTAAAAGTAGTATATCTGTGTCTATTATCAGCACCAGAAAGATCTAGTTTGGAAACTTGGGCAGGGGAGAAAAAATTTATGTGTCACTAAAAAGAAAAAAAAAAAGAAAGAAGAAAAAGTGAGAAGGAGCCAGAGAAGACTGTGCAACACCGTGCATGAATTCTGTACAAAGCACCTCTGCAACATTTCTGTTCATTGGAATAAATAATTGAGAGATGCGGTAGATTACTGAGAGCTTGCCTTTATCTCTAGAAATTCTTTTGCTCCTGAAAATCGCAAGACACTTTGAAAAAGACATCAAAATGTATTAGTGTAGTATATAGAGATGTAATGGGTCTTGATTAATTACATAGTCTATTGTCTTAAAATGTTGCATTATTCACGTTCCTTAAATGTGATTTGCCAAAAATATTCCCATAGGGCACTGATATTTCATAGTATATTGTTTAGGATTAGGAGATGAAGTTCCCAGGTTAAGTTATTTACTGTTAATGAAAACACCACTCAGTAAATACGGCTTGAAAATCCATTGTTAATTAACAGCATTCAATTCTTAATTGTCTTTTTACCAGTTCATTTGAAATAATTGACACAAAATACATTGTTAAACTGCTTAATCAATCATTGTAGAAAAATAGAGGTGTTTGATAGGGACATTCTAGTACAAAGTTTACGTGAAGCTTCCCCACTGAAAGCTTTGGAGGCTTCTATTTTTTTTTAAGCTTATGTTACAAAATTGAGATTTCATAAACTTTACAGTCCATACTACATGAATACCAAAGACAATAAAATACAGGAGAAGAGAGAGAAAGAGACAAACACACACAGCTTAAGCTTTAAGTGCCCTATTCACAAAAATATAGCTTACACATGCGCATGCCCCAGTGGCGGAAAGTATTTATTTTTTTGTGCTAAAGGACAGAGAAAAGGTTTAATTAGGGCCCTGAGCTGCTGTTCTAATTAATGCAAACTTTTGTTAAAATTGCAGCAATGAATTATAGAGCGGCCCAGTAAATTCCAAGAGCAAAAAGCAGGTTTATCCTCAGAGGAATGGTGTGCTTTCAGCTCGTGCACCTCTCTCTAGGACTGACATGCGCAGGCGGCTGGTCGCTGCTGATGCCGCGCTCCCCCCAGCTCCTCTGCTATGAGGCTTCTGTCTTCCCATGGAGCTGTGGAGCCACCCTTCCTTACAAACGCTTGGTACCTCTCATGGGTAGCTTTACGGGTGGGTTGTGATGGATGAACTGGAGCACTCAGCAGCTGCTGATGCTGGGCCAGAAGAACGAGCTTTGAAAGGTCTGTAGCAAAAGGAGTGGTATTTCACAAAAGTTAAGTGTAAGTAACCTTTACCGAGTTGGCAGAATCAGCCATCCTGGGTGGAGGGAACAAAAATCCATATTCTGCACCATTCCTTATATCATCCTGCTTTGTGAAAGCCTTCTAGGGAAAGTGTTCAGAGCTGAAACAAAAAACTTCAGCCAACCTGAGCTGCTAATCCCTGGTGTGCAACCCTTTCCCCACACCCTACTCTGCCCATCACTGCACGAAGCACAGATAGAGGACCTGCAGAAACCCCACTGATTAGCCACATACTGTGAAAATTAGTAAGTGGCAGTTTTTTCAGCAAAAAAATCAAATATAGGTGTGAAAATAATGTGAAAGCTATATCACAGTGCAAAATTTCCACCTGCCCACTAAGTTTCTCCTGAGGTTATTTTTTTTCTCTTCTATTTTAGCTTAAATGTTTCTATACAAAAATGCTTCAGTTTCTCTTCAGTGTATTCTTCCTTTCCAGAGTAGGCAGGCATAAAAAACAAAATTAAGGCTGCAGCTTCTTCTCATGTCCTGACAAAATGCTGTTCTTGATGGGCCTGAGTGAAAGCCCACCGAAAGCAACACAATCACTTTTCAACTGGTAATATTTTATGCATGCTGGGCCTGACTGAGCGATCCTTAGCACTGGGAAATGCCACACCGTGTAAGCAGCCTCTTATGGAGCGTGTCCGTGAAACTGTGACTGTACACACCAGCTCCCCTCCTCGCGTGAGTGTTGCTGTGTAAGCTATGCAAATTATCACTGCCCTGCTAATTTTAAAGTTGTCAAGTCGGAATGTACAAGATTTACATTGATTTACAACAGCCAAGGAGCTAACTTAAGGTGAAGAAAGTCATTAGGGAACTGCTCTGCTGAGCAGAGGTGGCAGGAACCGTGTGTTTTGCTGAGAAGCCCTCTTGAAGCATATACCCAGGGATGTCGCACCATCCATGGACTCTGCAGGACCAGCCAAGCGCTGGCACTGTCAACAAATGAATTTCATTGATTACGGCTTCGGATGAAATTCAGCTGTTTCTTTCCCAGCTGAGTGGCTAAAATCTACTGGCTGAGGTGCAACATTTGGTTTTCAATGGTTTGTGCTGTTTGCGTAGCAAACTGCTCTGCTGAAATCCCATGGTTTGTGTGGGGAGGAGGGAGAAGTTTCCCTAGATATTGCACATAAAGTATAATACCTCTACATGAAACATGCTCACTGTATTAAGAGTGTACAGGAAATTCTGGTTTGCCGTGAGTTTGCCACAGCCTAAATTTTAGTTTAAACTGCCAAAAAAAACCCCAGGAATGGTTTGCCTTATTTGTAAACATTTTCACAGTATATCAGTAATTATGTTACAATTTCTCTACCTTGGCCTCTCCCAGACTTATGGCTTTTTAGAGTCAGTAAAATGATCTGTTGGCAAACAGTGAGGTACTCTAAATAGCTGCCAGTCTGGTACACTGAAGAAAAGATCATGCACTAGAAGAGCTGTATATATAGGGGAAAAAATCAATATCACAATCCAAATATTAGAAGAGAAATGCCTACCTGATGGGTAGTTGTTTTTTGCATCCCAATATTTCTAGAAGTCTGTTTCTAAACCTACATTAATTACACATCTATGTACATTATTTAGAAGTTCTTTACTACAGTACTTTTGTACATGCGGTGTTTATTACTAAATGTAAAGAGAAAGTAATTACATAAGGCATATGTACAGTATCGTGTTAGATTGCAGATCCCTCTGCTCACCTTCCTCTTAAAGCTGCAAGGCCCATTTTATAGCGGCTTGTCACTCAGTATGTGAAAAGATACTGAAATACATAAAAACTGGAGCCAAGGCCCATTGCTTGCATAAGCATTAATTAGTCTTTCCTTTTAAATCCCTTGTATATATTCCCATTTCTTTTGGTTTTTTTTTTGTTGTTGATGTGAATAAACCTGGAGATCTGAACTCAGAGAGGTGCTGAGGAAGCCAGCAGTTGTTACTAGGGTGAGGATTGAGATTCCACCATCAACGATGGGTATTGCAGCTTTAACCCATGCCTTTAGCAAGTCTGTGAATCTCTTGAGTTTAAATTGGGCAGGTAGATATTTCGCATCTTAAGTATTTTTTTTCCTGGAATTGAGAATAGCAAGGAAGAAAATAAAAAAGGTATGTCAGAGAAAGAAAAGAGGAGTAAAGAGGGGCAAGGTAAAAGAGGTGGTGTGGCCCTTATGCCTCCAGTGTTTCTACACTTTGGACTCATTCTCCAAGTTGGCCACATCACCGTTTCTTTCATTTTGGTCTTCTTGATTCTTTTCTTCCTCTTCAGTTTCCAGCTCAGCATGCTGGTCCAGTTTGCTGGAAACAGACCATGTCAAGGGCAGTTCTGCTCGACTGGCCATCTCTGCCAGCTCTTTGGCACTGTAAACTGGTGTGTTGGTCTCATAAGTTTCATGAAAACTGTTGTAGTCAACTTCATAAAATCCATCCTCCAGAGTGAGGACAGGGGTGAAACGGTAACCCCACAGGATCTCACTCGTAATGTATGAACTTCGAGCTTGGCAGGTCATTCCTGTAACAGAGAAGGGAGAAGTGCTGTAATAAGGACCCACTGCTTTCCCAAAGCCTTAATTATTTATTCATATAGGCAGAGAATTGTTTGTAAAAAGACATATGCCAGAAAAGAAATAGGTTTGACATCATTTGAGGTTGAGCTTAGAAAGCAATTTTACAATGTGTAACCTATTTGATGCCCTTTCCTTCTGTGCATGTATATAATAAAAAGTGGTCAGTCTGTGAACAAAGATAAACATATCTTTATTAAATGCAGTTCTTCCTGAATTTCGTCACCAAGTAACTCACCCACTGATGAGTCTCAGATGGCTTATTGAGAGAGTATGTGACTTGCATCATTCCATCCTTTGCTTCCCTGGTGAGTAATGAACCCAGGCTGCCACATCACGCAGTTGCCCAGGCTAACTGAGGAACTTATGCAAAAGCTTTTCTCTGCTGGAGCTAACCCCTGAGCCTGTGGTCCATGGGTTGACTTGGTTCCTGTAAAGGTTGGAGTCGCCTTTTGGTTACATTGCTTTGGGGTTTGGGCTGGTGGCCAATGTGTAAACATCAGCAAAACTCCTGAAGGACATTGTGATAGAGTGTGGTGTTGAATTCAGATAACTGGGACTAACTTCTTTGTTACCTTCCCTTCACTTTTCTGAACCTTACTCTGGGAGCTGCTACAGGGCAAAAAAATCTGTAAGATCTTATAATTTGTTAAGAGGCATGAAGAGAGGCAGCTGTTCCAAGCTCCAAGCATAGTCTAGAGTGTCCTCTGGGTGAAGAAATGTCTGGGCATAGCAGGGACTTATGACTTGGAGAAGCTGCCCCATCTCAGACAGATAACTCAGGGACACACTACAATCAAATATTAATGTTCATTAGTGGAAGGGGAAACCCAGCTGACCATGAAAAGGGTCAGGAGAAGTGAATATAAGAGGCAAAAACAAGCTGCCAACAAAATGGGAGTACACGGAGAGAGTGTGATGGTTTTCCTTTAATTATTTGTACATTATTAACTACGTATCACTGAGCAAATTTCAGCTAAACAGTGTATGTCAAATATTTAGTAAAAAATGATACAAAACCTCTGGACACACCTGCCACGCATCAGTTATTTAGAAGGTAATCATAGGCAATTAAAATAGCTTAATTTGGGGGGGCAGAAATGGCAGTCAGTGGAAATGCACACCATTTCTCTGCACTGCTGACATCATATAAAGTCACATGGAGAGTCTCAGGAAGAGCAAACATTGGTAGTTTAATGTCCCTGATCTTTTTCAGGGCTGTGCAAACTGCTCTAGATAATTCTACCCTCATTCTCTCGAGCTTCCTCTCCAAGCTCAGATAACTTGCTTCCGATGGGTGAAAATTGCTTCTTGTTTCTTGTTACTCTAACTTTTTCACTGATCACATTCTGTTTAGAAAGACATTTACCAGCTATTACTGCACTGCTGTTAGCACTTCTCCATCCTTTCCCTCCACTTACTGCAGCACCTCAGACCCTGCCAAGGGATGACTGTCAGGGAAAGCTTTAGCATGAAAACTGCTGCACTGCACCTTCCTGCTACAGCGAGGCAGAAAGGGGACTGTACTTCTGCTGTGCTCACTGATCTTAATTTCTCTTTTTTCCTGACAGAAATACTCAAACCTTCATTTTTCTTGGTTTTGCAGGACAAGACATTTTTGCATTTCAATCCTCAAGTAATGCACCAAAGGAAATATGAAGATTTTACAATTTTTCTGTTCATTTCACAGGTGGGAAGAGCTGAATGACATGCAACTGTATGAAAAAATGATTTCTTGTGAGATTTCCTGTGTGATTTTTAGTCTGAAGGAGATGATCTTTCCCACAAAATGACAGAGGGGGAGGAACCTGGCAGCTCACAGAGCACTATACCTATGAGACATGCCCGAGCTGTGCAGCAACTTCCCCAAAGGGTCATTTGTTTTCTGCAGTCCTCTTCTGCGCAGACCCAGAAGCGTGGGTGAACTACTTGATAGGATCTCACTGCCCCAAGAGGGAGGTATCAGCAGGCTGGGGGCAGAGAGGGCCAGCAATGGATGCTGTCATGGTGTCATCCTCACTTCCCCAGGCACCCCTCTGGGCTGGTCTCCCACCAGCTCCTTTGCTGGTCCTTGGTGGCATGTCCAGAAGAGAGACTCCTGGATGGGTTTCCCCAAAGGAGTGTGCCTTTCATAAGACTGCTGTGTTTCTAATCCCTTTGTCTGCTGCTGAAATTTAACTTTGAAGTGAGTAGGAAATTTTGAGTTTTCTTTACAAAGGCAATAAGACTAAATAATAATAATAATAATAATAATAAAAAATTGAAGTCCCCTTGAAACAGTATTACATTCCTGTGCTCAGACCAAGTACTCAGTGATCCTACTGCTTTGGTTGGAAAAATTCATTTGTCTGGTGGGAAAAAGGGGGGGGCAATTTTCTGCAGAAGTCAAGAAGATTAATTGAATTACATTAGAGTTACCGCTCATTAAAAACAAACCCTAATCTACAATTTTGACCTGTCTCAGTTTTTAATTCAGTCTCCCATTTGATAATGATTTAATACGTGTTTCTTTTCCACAACTAGACAAAATACTTTCAGAGCTAGAATTAAAAAGTTAGGATTTTTCAAGCAGGTAAGTTGAAATCAAGAGAGATAATTTAGTGAGGGATGTATGTATGGGAGAGTCCTTATTACGCTCTCTAAAGGTTTGAGAAAGCTAATGCTGAAGAAATTTGTAAATGGATCACAGGGATTCTGGATTAAAATGTGCCACAGTTGTGGAGACCCTTGAAGTGATTGCCAGCGTGCCTGCGTGGCTCTGGATACTGAACAGAGAGATTTATGCAGTTCTGCATTGTGTGGCTTTACCAGCCTCTGCCTGTGCTGCCTCAGAGGTCCTTCAACTCCACAGTCAGCAGAGCTTCTGGACTGTCTTTTCTGCATTTAAACCTTTATCATATATTATGCTTTAATTTACATATATTTCATTATACCCCATAGTTTTAATTGCCCTGTGAAAGGAAATGTGAATTTTATTATTTGCTGTAAATTCTGAACATCTTCTTGGTTGATGGGGAGGCTGCATCTTGAGTGAGGGCATTTTGGGCTTTAGATGTCCAAGTATTGTGTGATTTATTCAGTAATTGTGTGGTTTCTATGTAGCCATAGATCTGTTGCACAATGGCTTTAAAAATGATTGTGGTTTGACATTTTGACTAGTGTCTCATTTTAATTGGATCCCTTCAGGGTAGACGAGAGCTGAGGAGCCTTTGGAGCTACTTAGCTCAACATTAATTGGACTTTTACAAAATAAGCTGGGAAATTAAGAGACCCAAATAATTCATTCTAAATTAATTAAAACTATAACTGGAAGGCAACGGTCTGTTTGAGAAGGGGTGTCAGAGCCCAGTGAAAACCTCAAGGCTCGACTCTCAAGGCCCGCTGTGATGGGCATGGAGGGAAGCCAGGGGAGCGGGTGGTGATAGAGGAGGGTTCCCGCTGGGCTGGGCAGCTGCCTGCCCATGCCCTAAACATCCTATCCCATCCCATCCTATCCCATCCCATCCCAGCAGCTCCCCAGCTCCCTGCACCATCTGTCCCTGCTGCTGGGCACGGGGGAGCAGTGGTGGCGGTGGGATTAGGTTGCCCTGCAGTGGGCTCGTGCTTGCACCTGTTCACCTCGCTGCATACTGGATCTTAAATACACCACGAGCTGATGAGACCTCTGATGGTTGCCCTTAAGTGCTGTCTCACTTTAAACTAGAAGCGTTTTTAATGAGCCTTTGTACATGGCTTTCTGTTAGGTCTGAATGACAACGTTTTGGTCTCTTTGTTTTATGTCTGCACAGGCTAGGGAATCACAACTGTGTTTTGCAAATACTTGATTGCTGGGCAAGTTACCTAAGGAGTAAAATTACTTGCCATCTTACTTCATTGTGGTTTTTTTAAATTATGTTTAATGTTCAGTTAGAGCTTTGTGGGCTGTAACCAGTGTCATAAGAGTTACCGCTTCTCTGTGAAAGACACACACCATGGTGGATATCATTCCTATCACTCCCCTGTTCCTATTCTGGGTCAGAACTATGCAAGGTGAGTTGCAAGCTGAATTTTGGTCTGTGTTGTATCAGAGGAGGTAAACTACTAAATTATGGGGATTGGGTGAAAGAGACTTCTTTTTTTTTTTTTTTTTTTTTTTTTTTTGGTGACAGCCAAGCTAACAAGGCAACGTTTTTATTGTTTTGCTTTCAAATGGGAACAAAAAAGGTCTTGCTGACAGTGCTGGGATTAGCTCCACGTATCTGAAATCAGCAATTAGTTACTACTTTGGATAGTCTTGTTACCATACAGCCGATGTAATTAAAACTTTAATTTATCCTGTAAATGCTTATTATTTCCACTCAACAGCTGAACTGCACAGGGCCTTGAGCAATGCTGCAGAGCGGATTCTGAACAGGAGCCAGCCTGCAAAGCCACTTTCTGTCTGCACTGAATTTGACGCACAGCTGGGGTCCTGCCTCCTACATGTGCTGGGGTGGGGATGCTATAGAAGGCTTGGTCACTTCCTTGACATTATGTCCTGTTTGCTTCAACAAGAAGTTGGGACCATGCTCTGGTTCCTGATAACATGTGGGCTGCTCCTGTCCAGAGCAGAGGCTGCAGTGGCTCCCTCTGCCTGACTGGAAGTGGGGACACTGTTTCAGTGTACCCCATCGGCAACTTTTCTTCCAGCTAAAATGAAAGGTTTTATCAAGCTTAATGTTTACGTCACGGACTCTAAGAAAATGACAGAATAACTCCCCTAAGCTGTCACTGATATAAGAGTAAGGTTACAACCCCACCTTTGACTGATTAGAATTAATAACAGAGTTGATGCCACCTCCAGATTCATTACTCTTGAAAAGTTGCCCTGTGCAGTTTTTTTGAGGTTACAGTTTGTTCATGCTGTCTACTGCTATTTAGGCTTATGCTTTGCACTGTCTTACAGTGCTACGAGGGTTTGGTGTGGTGA